TGCCATCTCCCCCGCCCTGCCCACGTGCTATCCCACCCACCTTACCCATGTGCCATCCCACCGCCCTGCCCACGTGCTATCCCCGATGCGCAGGAGGGTCACCTCCCCAGGGCTTCTGAGCAATCCATCTGTCCCTCTTGTGGCACTAACTGCCCTGGACAGAATTATTATGGGTGAAGTGTATATGTATGTGAATGTGTGTGTATGTGTGTGCGTGTGTCTGTGTATACGACCTCAATCTTCACAATATGAAATAGTTATGAGAGTATCTTTTAGAGATAAAAACACTGATGGGCTGATAAAAATACTGATTTGTCCATCATCGGATAGTAAGTATCAGAGTTTAGTTTAGAAGCCAGGTGTGTCTAGCCCCGAATCCTACGTTCTCTGCTGTTATACTATAATGCCACCATTTAAATTATAATTAAAGGACTTACTGTCTAACCATAGTGGTATAAGAGTAATTTGCCTTTTTTCCTCCTGGATGTAATCAAACCCAACAAAGTAAACAAGACAAAGGCAAACTCTACTGTTACTGAAACTAGAGGCAAATAAAACTCAGTCTCAAAAAATGGGTCAAGGCTGTAAAAAGCAGACAGATGCAACACTGGGGGGCTAAGCTGGAACAAAAGCTGTATGGGGGAAAATAGTGGAATAGCTCAGCAGGTGAACAGTGAAACTGTTCAGTAGGTCTCAGAATATGCCAGCAAAATAGTTACCGTACATCGAGGACTCACCCTAGGGTGACAAGCCCCAAAACTCCACCTACATGAGCTGTAGGATCCTGGAGGGCTGGGGGAAATCAAGCAGAAGACACATAAGGGAGGTGTCCAAGGAAACAAGGAAAGTGGCAGATCTCAAAAAACACCATCAAAAGTATACTACTGAAGAAACCTCCTGAAAACTGCTAAGCTAAGAGGATTATTTTTGAACATACAAGGAGTTAAGGAATATTGTTTCCATGTGCCCTGCTTGAGGAAACTTCTAGAGAACAAAGTTCGGTCAACTAAAGGTGATTAGGGAAACCACCGCCAAAGAACTGACGGCATTGAATGTATAACTGTAGAGCCAAGACTAAAACCACAGGTGCTTAGAGGGGCAGATGGGAATGTTCCTGACAATGAAGGAACAATTCAACCAGCATGAAAGGGGAAGGGCAGGAGGTGACAAGTGGAGGAAGTTCCTTGATTGTATCACCTACGCAAGCCCCCGTGGCCAATGTACTTGACTGCGTTCAGGCTGCAAGTTCCTTTCAGCCTCTGAGGTGGTGGTAGCTCAGCGTCAGTTGTTTTCAGAGCCTCTGCTGTGCTGTCAGATTTGTCCTGTGTGTATGCCATCCAGTGGCCAGTCTGGGACTTGGACGATGGTCTCAGTTCCATTCTCAACATTTCTAAGATGCTGTTCAGAACCAGATCCATGCGTGAACAGCTTGGGAACAAGCCCAGGGATTTATAAACAGCTCACGAAGTCACCTTCCCAAACTTCTCCCTCTCCATGATCTCCCCTGTACTTTCCGTGTCCTTCTGTCCACACAGCTCCACTCCCTTCAATGCTCTCAGAAGATACTTATATTCACGTATTCTCTAAAAACCAAAGAGCCATTATTAGGGGAGGAGAGTGCCTGCATCTTGGGACCATTATCCTCAGGACCTACAGGGTTTTTAAAGACACTCTGGCCCTGGCCAGGTAGCTCAGTTGGTTACAGCATCGTCCTGATACACCAAGGTTGTGGGTTTGATCCCTGGTCAGGGCACATACAAGAATCAACCAATGAATGCATAAATAAGTGGAATAACAAATCAGTGTTTCTCTCTCTCTCTAAAAGTAAATACATTTTTTTAAAAAGAAGAGACACTTTGGTGCTAGGAGGGTACTTGAATTATTGGGGCATCACTTTTGTAAATTATATAATTGTCTAACCACTTTGCTGTACACCTGAAACTAATATAAAATAATATTAAATGTTAACTGTAATTGAGAAATAAAAATTTTTAAAAAAGAAGGAACACTCAAGTCTCAAGGCAGTCAGTAGAGCTTCCCCACACCCACACTGTCCCCTCTGAGGTAAGATGTCCCCATACTCCTGCACCTCAGCTCCAGAGCCCTGAGGCAGTCTCAGGGAAGGCATCACGTGAGAGCACTAAAAAGCAGCCCTTGAGGACAGGGACAGCCAGTTCCCATTCACCAAGTACCTTTCGGCAAGGCGGGTTCTGCCCAGGGAGGGAGCTGTCGGAACAGCATGACTGTGCTTGGGGGGTCTCTGGACGTTCTCAGCAGCCCAAGAGGGCTCTGTCCTAGCACCTGCTCCACCTCCATGGCCAAGTGGGAGCCTAACTGAAGCTGCCAGAGATACCCCTTGTTTTCAGGAAAGGAAGTCAAAACAGACTGCAGGCGCTGGGGAGCAGGGGCCTCATATTCCAGAAGCAGAGACCCCGAAAGCACCCAATCCTAGCAGGAGACATGCTGGACCCACATGAAGGAGACAACAGGACTTTAAAAGAGATAAGAAGGTTTGAATAATTGAAATAAATACCATGCTCCCAAATGAGAAAGATAATTATTAAGATACAGATTTTTCCCAATTAATTCTTATATTTAATGCAGTCCCAATCAAAACACCAATCGCATAGGGACACAGAGCAGATCACGGACGCCTGGGCCTGGGAACAAGGGTTAACTGGGAAAGGAGCCAGGATCTTCTGACCGTGATGGGAATGTTCTGAAACTGGGCTGTGGCAAAGGCACTGCAACTTCGAACCGTATACACTGAACTATACACTTTACACAAGTAAATGCTAGGGCATATAAGTTATACCTCAATAAAGCTATTTAGAAATATGTTACCTAGCAAGTTTTACTAAATAAGACTATGCAAATCTGACTTTTATTTTCCAGGAAAGTATTTAATAGGCTTTTGACATGGTTAAAAATAATTAATCACTTTTTCTTTCTTTTTTATGGGCTTAATTTCTTAGAGCAATTCATCACTTTTTAAAAAATGTGGTTTTTAGAAATGGTGACTATAAAAGATACAAGGTAGCCCAGCTGGGCGTAGCTCAGGGTTGAGCGTCGACCTAGGATCCTGGAGATCAGGGTTCGATTCCCGGTCAGGGCACATGTCCGGGTTGCGGGCTGCAGCCGATCGACTCTCTCATCATTGATGTTTCTATCTCTCTCTCTCCATCTCCCTTCCTCTCTCTGAAATCAATAAAGATATATTAAATAAATAAATAAATAAAATGTTTAAAAAAAAAAGATACACGGTAAAAAAAACACCCCCAATGATATCTGGGAGTTTGGAGAATTTCAAACGACGATTCTAATGTTTTTCTACAAAAATGAACAAGAGAGAAGCACTAGGAAAAATTTTTTAAAGAAGTATAAGGAGGCTGCTCTGCCAGAAATTGAAACTATAATAATTAAAACAAGATCATTCTGTTGTGAGAATCAACAAACAGATTAATGGATTACGACAGATGTGTGCGTATATAGGCTTTAGTGTTTATAAAAATTAGTATATAAAGAAAGAATCAGAAACTAATAAGTAAGAGTTAACTATTTCACAAATGACAATTGGGGAAATTACCTACTTATTAGCCAAAAATTGATCTAGAGACTGATGCTTTACTATACACCCAAATCAATTCCAGATTAATTTAAAAATCAAATGAAGTAATTCACACAATAAAATTATTTTAAAATGTAGATTAATATTTAACTAACCTTCAACTGGGAAGACAAGAGTAAACACCGTGGAAGACATGGTTAAAATACGCACAGTGTGGCGTCATACACAACCAACAAGAATGAAGTTCTTCAAATAATTTTTAGGAAGCATGAGAAAATGCTCACGAAATAATGAGGAGTAGAGTGCCATGCCCAGAGTAACAGCACAAATTAAATTAAAAAACTAATAAACTACATATGCAGAAAGACTGGTAGATACACCAAGATGTCTCTGTAGCATAGAATTATAGGTGAATTTTTAGGACTTCCCATATTTTCTACTATGACCACGTGTTTCTTTCACAATCCAAAAAATAAGGTGTTTTTAAAAAGATTTGGAACTGTGAAAATATGAAAAACCGGTCAAATCCAGCCACTAAGAAGCAACAGCTTCAAAATACACACAGATGTTAAATGCACTTTTCACATGTATGTTTCACAATTTTTTTTAAGTATAAAAATAAATGAAATAAAAGCCACACAGGCTGCCTGCAGGAGCAGAGCCACTGCAGCAGCCTCCCCGTGCCCACATCTTCAAGAGGCAAGGAGGCCCTGCCAGGACCCTGGATAGGTGCTCCCCACCCCCATGGGTGCAGAAGCCAGATTCACTCCCAGCCTTGGCCACCAGCCTGGTCACTTCCCAAACGAGCTCCCTCGGGCCCCATGAGGGCCATACCTACATTATGTCCTGCTGCCCAGCCTGTGCCCTGTCAAGTACATGAAACAGCCTCATCTGGGCCATCAGAACTCAACAAATCAGCTGCTAAAATCTCCTGAGACCAAGCATGAGCGTCATAAACGGATTCCAGAGACACTGGTTTGAAGTTCACCCCACTCCAGCGCCCTGTGAATGACTGTCCACAGACTAGCCTCAGCACCACTGAAATGAAACCAATTCCCCTGTTCACCCTTGAAGCTGGTCTCTTCCTCCTTCCCCTATGGAAGTTCTCCCCATGGGAAAGTAGCCCCTCGGCCCTCCATGGAGCATCCTTCCCCCCAGCCCTCCCTCCAGGAGGCGCTGTGGCAGCTTGGCCCTCAGGTGATCCCTTCAGGGTTTCAAGAAGCATCTGCCCTCTGCCAGACTCCTGTGAAGCACTGATCTCAGCAGCTCCTCCTGTTTCCTGGGGCCCAGGCTCCTGCTCCCTCCATCCCAAGAAAGAGTCTTATCGTAGTTCCCGCCAAAATGCTGTCTCCACTTAGGGTTGCCAGATTTAGCAAAAAGAAACATAGGGCACCTGGTTAAATTTGAATTTCAGATAAACAACGAATAATTTCTCAGTATCAGTATATCCCGTCTCTCTCATCCACCCTGCCTCTCTTGAAACACTTTTTCTTTCTGTCCCACTATAAAACATGCACTGTTTCCCTAAACTCCTGTGAAATACTGCCTGCCCTCTGCCCCCAAAACATGAAACAGCCGTTAAACAGGACAAACTCCTTCTGCTCTGTCCATCCTCTCAATCCCAGCCCACCCACCCTTTCCCCCAACCCCATAAAATTCCTTAATACTCTCATCCTTCTGCCTCTTTCTTTGAAGAGTAGAGACTCCCAACCAGTCTCCACACAAAACATCACCTTTTCTC